TTCCCTTCCCTAGCACATACATAGCTTTATGAACAGAGTATTACCACAGGAAGACAGAAAGGCAGTGAGGAAAAAAAGTCACATCAGCCAACCTGCTGCACAGAAAATAAAAAAGCCAATTTATTCCAACAAATTGAGGAAGGGAGTAGGAATTAGAAAGGTAGGCATTTTACACCAAGCTTTCAAAAACCAGTTGTATGGCTGCGATGAGATGTGTTCAGCGCATCTTGATTTCCTTACCTATAAAATGGGTTATAATATTTCCTTTGAATTGCAAAGGTGTAAGTTAATGAAGTTCTTTAAAAATGTGATTATCAAAGTGAGTTTTTTCCTACTTCTTCATTAGCTTTTATCATCAAATACTTTATTCTAATAGTTTACAAAATTAGGATACAATGTGCTTTGCAAAACAATAAGGTTCTCTTCCCCTGGTAAAGCAATGTATCTGATTTTGCTCTGGTTTCAAAGCTTAGCTGGAGGCATGGAAGCTGGAAGTTTGGATAGGACTGTTCGGATGGGAACTTGAAGGGCTGAGGTCATTCTACAATTACAAAAACAGTGGCTGCTTTTACTTCCTTCTTAGTCTGTTCCATCTTTACAGATTATGAATGAAGCTTGTTTAGAGATACACTGTCTTTAAACAAAACTAAATTACACTTTTATAAAATTGTCAACTCTCTAAAAAGTTTTAAATTTAAGAAAGTTGCCCAAATCATCTCTCTCAGGAGAAAGTCAGTGTCTACCTCTCAAAATTAGTGACGAAGGACTAAGAGATCTTGTAAAATTAAAATAAATTTAAAAAAAAAAAACAGCAAAAATAAATAAAAGTCTAATCACTAGTATTTTACTTCCTCTCCATGATGACATTTTAACTACAGGATATTTGTTGGATAAGCAAACATTAATTCCTCCTACTTAGTCTATGAGTATAAAAAGAGTGTTGAAATCCATCTCTAGAAAGAGGCAGCTGTCACCATCGTGATGGAAGGTGCTCAGGAGGAAGCATCCATGTGCTAACTCTAACACACACACGTCCCTCTGTGGGGTATGTCCCACTGCACTTACGAAATACAGACTTGCCCTGGGGCTGAAAGTACCTTCCCTGCCAGCTGAAGAGACCTACACTAATATTAAACTAGTTCGCTTTGGTATCAACCACTGCAGTAGAATTGACCCAGCAGAGGTTAATCGAGCTTTCCAACCATATTGTCTACCCACAAGGTGAAAATTTCCAAAACAGACCTCCAAACCAGAGGCTGTCTTTTTTTCAGACTAGATGTTACGAAGTTCTGGTGATGTCAGGGCAAAAGGAGTGAAAGTTTCAGTCAACTGAATAGCGTTACTCTTATTTGTGTTACCCTTTGTCTCCTTCAGAGCCTTCTAGGGCAGATGTCTCTCCCTCTCTCCATGTCTATCTAATATAATTCAGCATTGAATGAATGATATTTTATCCAAAAATGGAAATAACAATTCAGCTCACAAATGGACAGCAGTTTTTTGCAGCTGTTCTAGTTTTTCCATTACTATCTTAACATAATTTCCCCCTAGTTATGTAAAAATGATCATGTGCTCTTGGGGACTAAACAAGTCAACACAACAGTTTCCTTTAAAATTCAAGGTAGAACTGGATTGAACCAGTTCAGCTTATTCTATTTGCCTAGAAATCTTCAGTGGTTTGATGGCCTCCAGGTAGAACAGGCATTTTCCTCACTCCTGCTTAGAACCTTTTGTAAATACTGAGTTATATTTTGCTAGGTATTGGAAATGACAGAGAGCAGAAACAGTAACACTATACTCTCCGAGTATACTGACAACAGCAAAGACGGAAGAAAATATTCTGCATCATCACTGTGATGAAAAAATTCTTTCTCTAAGAGATTTAATAACAGAGATGCATAGGAAGACTACAAACCAGATCTCAGCAAAACCTATGGAACTGAAGCTGGGAATTTACAGAATTTGTAAATCTGAGGAATGTAGACTGAGGGGATAGAGGGAAGAGGTCAAGACACTGGAGTTCAGGAGATTACTTTCATGTGACTGTAGAGCATCATTAGGAGAAATTTCTAGTCAGGACTTGAATCCTAGCTTTTTATGCCATCATATGACAACATGGAGTTTCAGGATACAATAAAATACCAAAAGAGTCATTGACTTGTGCCTGTCTAGATCTTGTCTAGAGTTCTTGCAACAGCCTCAACATTTATGCTTAGATGAGCTTAGCTGCAGAAGTTGACTGCAAAAGCTGTTAATACAGGTAAAAAAGAAAATGTTGGGTGCTACATAAATGAGTGAAACAAGTGCATTGCAAGTTAAGCAAGCATATTTTATGACTGAAGCCTTCTCAGTGTTGTACCATTTAAGTTAATCAAAGAAAGTCAGTCCAGTTAAGGTGCAAATCCGAATCTTCATTAAAGTGGCAAACTTGCTTCAGAAGAAGCCTCTCCTGCAACAAATTCCCATCTGCAATATTAGCAGAGAGAACACAGCAATTCAAGATGCTTTCTGCTAGATGAAAGGGAAACACCCTTGACGGAACCTCTATTTCTTAAGAGCAACGCAATCCATTCCTCATGCGTCAAAGGCATCCAACAGCATAGAGCTGTCTTCTATTGTATTTTCGCTTCTTCTTCACTACAGAGTGAAGATTCTACAATGAGGCTGCATCTGGTAAGCGGTCTGTGAAAAGGGAAATCTCCAGCATTGCTGAGAAGACTCAGTGCTGTGTAATCAATACCATGATATTTGCTTTGTACGCAAAATAACACATGGGTTGGGAAGCTGCCAAAAATTACCATCATGGATACACATGTTGAGATAAATCAGCTTCTGTTTCACAAGCTAAAATTTTTTTTAAATCTATTTTCCTTAAAAAAATTACAGCATGTCATAATCCATCTCTGTCAGAGCATCTGAGCTACAGTACAGGTATACAAACCTTGGCTGTGTTTATGCAGCAGCTTAATCTGCTCTTGAACTCCAGAACGTGCCTTGCACCCTTCGTATGCTTTATCCAACACACAAACACTTCCATCTCTCTTCAAATGCAACCACCATGCCAATATTGTACCAGCATTTGGGATCACAGCCCTGGCATACCTCAAGGTGCTGTGTCAATATAGAAGATAGCAGGGACTGAAGTCCCGAGCGGAAGTGCCTCCTACCGTCCTGAAAATGCCACTCCGTACAAGAAAATAAGCAGGTACGTTTAATGGACAGTGAATTGAACAGATTTAATCCACGATGGGAGCTACGGCTTAAACATACCTAAAAACTGAAGTGGAACTCGCAGACTGCCTGGCATGTTCCTGTGTTTGTGTAGCTAATGTCTTAACATTGGCTCTGGTTTTTTGTTTCCAGTGCATTTAAAACCACAATTTCAATGCCAAATTACTGGAAGTTCTTTGAAATCCATGCAATTTGCCCACTTAATTTATATGCAAAATACAAAATTTCACACAGCAGTTTTCAGCATTCCCATCTCTAGGCACTGATTGCCAAGCCACCATTTCATTTTTATAGTCATTTAACTTGATAATATGACTTTAAAACTGAATTTCTACTCTCTCCACCTATTAGCTAGCATATTTAGTGTCATAAGTATGTCTAAGTATCAGTAAGGAATTTGAGGATGACTCATTTAATAATATATATTCATGTCTGTGCATCAAAGGTGAGGGACAGGAGAAAGGATTAGGAAAAGAAACAAGATTTTCCATTCCTCGCCATCTGTTCTCACACTGACTCTCAGGAGTATGTTCTGAGCATATGCTTCCTCACCTCTTGAAGTCAGATAGACCCTAATTAATTTGATTTTCCACATATCAACATCGTAGATTTGCTAAAGAAGCTAATGAAACTATAGCAAAGATGAAATAAAGTACAGCAGTGTAACCACATTGCAGCAGCCTGCCTCTCTTCTCATGCTTTGGAAAGGTTACAGCTGTCCCCACACCCAGCTCCTGCCCCCAAAGAAACAACTGCGTGCATTATTTAAGGTACAGCTTTACTCTAGTGACACTGTATCAGCTGATAAGGGGTCAAGCGAAGTCACTTGGTACTGAGCTTTTTATTAGACTTGGTCCTGTCAATCATCGCTGTAAATTTATTAACCTTTTCTTCATCAAGACCCAGGGTACATGGCCACAGTAGTGCACTTGTTTCAAAAAAGTCGAAAGCACAAGAATCACACTTCAGTAGACTGAGAGCCTTGTGAAGCTCAAAATCCCCAAGTTGGCCATCTTTCCTTCAACACAGAGGTCTGTTCCCTCTCAGTGACCTTTCTACAGTGGAAATCCTCTGGATTGTCACTAGTAGAAAGGCACACAATATTGGTTCACGTCCAAACAGACTTTAATCCTTACAAAACATGCAGCAAACATTCATCTCCCAATAGCCTATTCTGATTTTAAAGAGATGATTTTCTAAAAAAGCAACTCATGGGCTTGTAACACATAGGAGTGAGTAGCAAACATTTCCTTGACTTATCAGAGCAACACCTTTAAAAGAGATACTGTCACTGCAATATTGTCACTGTGTCTTTCTGATGCCAGAGAGAAGTCAGGTTGGGGAAGTGAGGAGACTATTGAAAAAGCACTTTATCAATAAACTCAGGAAAACGAGAGTGAACAGTTTAATCATCATGTGCAATGCATCATGCTTTTCCTTCATAAATGCATGTACTCAGATATTGCTGTTTGTCAGCTCAACATCAGCTGCTTGTCAGCGCGTTTATCTCATTGAGTGGCTCGGTGGCAAGGTGTTTCACAAAAGGCAGGCATGTGCAGTGGCACAGTGTTTCAAAGCACCAGTCTGGCCCACTTTTCCAGACAGTAACAACTGCCATACACACATAAACAACACCTACCAGAAACAACACAGCAGTACTTTGCTTTCAGCTTCAAAATGGAGAGAAGCAGTTGCTACCAGTTCCTGACTAGAGCTGCTAACACAGACAGCTGCAATAGCGTTCGGGAGGTCATAACTCATCAAGGATCCCAGCGAGAACCCACACTCAGAAACAAACCCCTTGCAGAGCTTTTCAGCAAGCAGAGCCTTGTTTCTCATATGCACCTTTAACAAAGCCAGGAGACAGAGGCTTCTTTAAGAACAAAAGCCCTTGATGTAGCTGAAGATGTGGCAAGGCAAGCACTCAGGGTCAAGGAGCTTGCACATCCTTACTAATGAGAACGAAGGGTATGTGAAATGAAGGGCTTGGTAGATGCTTTCTCCAAAACAGCATCCTCCTCTAAACCATTCCAAGAGACAAACTCTTTCCTCTACAGCAAGCGCCACTGAACTCAATGTAGGTACAGGATATCCGCTGAAAAGTCTTTCACAGTACTAGAATACAATTCCCTCTACGAATGGGTGCAACTCCTGTTATGGAGGGACGTTTGCTTTGTGTTTGTGTTTTATATCACAGTCAAAGCTCTACAATACCTTTCATCCCTCAGGTACTCCCATCAAATCAAAGGTGAGAGAAAATAGTGCCTACACATCTTACCTCTTCCAGTATGCCAGAGGCGGGAGCAATGGGTAGTGTGGGGGCCCAGGACCACCTTTGTCTTTTCTAATTCAAGCCCTTGAGCCATGTGACAATTTTCAGCCTGACATTGTTTTTCCTTCTAAAGGCTGCATATCTAAGTTGCACTGGTATTTTGTAGCAGTCTAATTATATACTCAGAAAGTTTCCCATGAAAGAATATCAACATTTTCTGTTAACCACTTCAAGCCATGTAAAATACCACAGAGCAGCAAATCTGTGCTGTGTTAGCTTCCATTGGATGAGAGATACAGGCATGACATACACAGGGAGCAGACAGACAGGAGTCTTGGAAGCAGCTGAAAGCGCAACAGATGATCTATGAGACAGATCTTGCCCAGTTTGGGACTTCTTCATGACTCCTCTCCCTTGCACTTTATAGAGCAAAATTTCCTATCATTTTTCTTATCTGCTGATAAGCATGCACATCTCATCTCCCTGCAGCCTAAGTAACATTTCCTAGTAACACAATACAGCTACAAAAAAAATCAGCAGTTATTACTTTATCTCAAGGGTGAACTCCAGCAGAAAAATGCAAGAAGATTAGGGCGAGAGTCAACATGGATATTCTGAAAGAGACTATGGTAACGCCAATGGGATGCCATTTGCTTTTACTTTTACTTCTGGGAGTCAAAAGCAAATTCCTCACTTAGAAGGTAAGACATGTCAACCAAAATGATGAATTCTTATTCTAAATTTGAAAAAAATGAACCAAAATCAAACCTGGTCTACGATGGGTTCAAAGCATCTCAGAAAGCCCTCCGCAAATTTCTATCCACAAACAAGAAGAGAGGAGAGAGAGAAAATAGCCAAACTACAGGCCAACAATCTACCAACATTAACATCAGCTATCTTGGTTACGAGAAGATTCCTGGCTGAAGGGTTAAAACTGGACCAGAGCTCTATCCCTTACACTTCACATGAAACATGACTTGGGAAACACTGGGAGAGAACAAAGGCACTTCCAGCAGCTGCTGGGAGGTGATACCTCTGGAGTCTACATTGCAATGTACCTCCACAGACAGCAGCAGAAGCTCCTTCGTTTCTAGTTGTCTTTTATAGCATTTAGAAAAGTTACAGTTCTGTTCCTCTCGGCTCAACCCAGGGAAGCCTGAGGGCAAGAGCATCGGTACCAGAATCTGTGTTGGAATAGACTTATTATTTAAAGATGAGAAAGTAAGATAAAGGCAAAGTGTGAAATCTCTCCATTGGCAGCTAAAATACCAGCACAAGAGATCCTCAGTCAAATAAACAAAACAGAAAAAACTTATCAAGTGCTGCAACTACCAAGATTTTTATATTTGGTGCAAGCAGTCACAGGAAACCTAAACAGAGATATTTGCACATCTTCAGCTATTCTCTCTCTCCACACTTCTGATAGCAGCTGCAACATGCTCCTCTCTGCAATTCCCTGCTGAAAGAAATTGTCAGTCATTACAGGAGGGTTCCAGGACTCCACATCCCTGAAAATCAGGGTAGATTATTGCGGGGTCTCAGTCACATCATGGATTACCAAGGAATCCCACTTTGCATTTCAAAAGGTATGTTTGCTCAGACACTGTGCCACAAACCTATCCTTGGTAAGTTTGTTCTTTACCTGACTTTCCTCATGGCTTTTTCCATTTTCTAGCTTTGCAATGGGCTTAGGTTTTCTTAGCTTTAAGTTGCCCATTTCAGGCTTTTGGGCGTAGTCAATTACAGCCTGCTGCTTGTGCTGCTGAGTATCTTGCAAAGGCAGCTGCCTTTCCTCTATGACAGCAGTGTTGTCCGGATAATTTTCTTTATCATCATCTCTGTAAGAAAATAAAATTGAAATGCATCAGGCAGGACTTCAGACATCTGTCAAAACATTATGAAGGAAGAACAGCAGCAAGATCCTAGCTATTCATGGCATTTTAATTTTACCAAGTTGAGTAGTAAACACACCAAACACTGCATGTGTTAGTAAAATGAATCTGAGAAGCTACTGTTTATTGTCAAATCACAAGCTAAACTACTGTTAGTATTATTACACATTCAACTATGGAGCCATTTAAATAAGACTAGTTTTAAAGGCACTCTTTGTGTTCAGCCCTATACTTCACATTCCCCCCAAAAAACCTGAAACTACCTTTTTCAAGCAGAAGACCTTGCCCCATCCGATGATTCATACTAGGTTATAATATCACAAAAATGTCACCGTGTACAGTAATTCCTCCCTATAGTCATACTTTCCTTCTGACAGCGTCTGTTTTTGAGAGCTTCTGGACAAAGTGAGAGAGGTAGGCATTCAAAGTAGGTTTGGAACAGACAGCGGTGTGTTTGGGTGGAAGGGACGAGTGTCACCGTGCGCCCAGTTTGGAGAAAAGGCGCCTCCTGTGTAACAGCACATCTGGTGCTTTACACAGACACTGTTTCCAGGGATGCTCAGTGAACCGCTGAACCTGAGACAGTATTTGCAATCTCCGCCTAGCCTACAGAGTGCAACCTGCTAGTTGCACCTCGCTAGGCTTATCCACACCCAAGCAATCTGACCATAGACTAGTCTAATGCCTTCCACTGGGAGTGACTCCTTGGCACCACTAAGAAAGCTACCGCAATGCAGACTTCGAGGCTGCCTGCTTAGTTGGCAGGATGAGTAGGTTGGCATTACTGTTCTGAAATCCCTCATTACTGCTTAGTTTGCAGGTGGAATTTCAGATGTTAGCTTCAGCAAGTAAAGTCCTAATGGTTAGCTGAGAGTTGACCTCTCTCCTGGTGTGAAACTTCCCCAACTGAGGGAGTCAAGGACTACTGAATTAAACACCCCCGAGATTTTTTTTTTTAGAAAGCATAACTTGCTAATTCAATGTTTTCTCCTAAGGATTCTGAGCTGCCAAACTCACTTTCCATGTGTGGCCCATCAGCATCCAGATGGATGCTTGCGGGGCGCCTGTGGAGTTAAATACCATTGCTGCCCATGCCTTCTGCAAGTGTGCTCCAAGGCAGTTGTTATAGTTACAGGGTAGGGTGCTTTATAGCCTACAGGCGTTTCAAGAATACGCAGAAGTGTTGCTGATTTTAAGGCATCATCTGATTTAAAAATCTGTCTAAAAGTTTAAGTTGCATTCCCTAGCAATCAACATACACGAACATAGCCATGAGAGACGCATGCCTCAGGAATACTTTAGTTAAATCACAATTTGAAGGGATTTTTTTTCCCCACATAGGCACTCATCAATGAGCATATCCTTGCACAGTTGCAAAACTCTGCTTTCTACTACTTTGAACCAGCTGCTGTAAAATTCAGTGTATTAGCATCTGAATGAAAGTAGTATTATATGAAATTAGGAACACAGGCCATAATGTATTTACTCATATAATAGCAACAGTAATTAATCTTCATATTGTTTACATGTAAGTATACAAGACAAATAGGAATTTCTCAGAAATACTAATAGCCTTAACAGTTAATACCCCAGAAATTCTGCATTCTCTTGAGAATAAAGGTTTCTTCCTAAAGGTTTAACAGAAGCACTCTCACAGCTTTATTTGCTGCCAATGGATTTCAGACAAAATTTGCAGTAGAATACCTGGGGCTGGAACTGGCTGCTTGATCTTCATGTACAGAGTCTGAATCCCCGTCACACCTTGAAAATGGATACAAAATAATTACTGATTTTCTGCCAGTTGCAGAAATTTAGCTTTTAATAACTTAACAGTGCAGCTCAAACTATAAACACGTTTCTCCTTCTCACACCTTAGCTGGGTCATTTAGTGCCGTAGCTGCTCCATGATCGTCTAAATCTCAGAGGAAGAAGAGGATTTGAGATAGTAAGTGCACACAATTTGGTATATCATTTTCAGCCAGATGGAAATAACGATGACAAAGAATTCAGATGGTACCATAAAAATTACAGGAAAAATATGAGAAATTCTGTATTATAATTGATTATAGTATACATCACACTAAAAATAATAATAATTAGAAACAATTAGCTACGTGTGTTTTTCTCCTAGACTCACGAAAATATTAACCATAGTAGAGCAGTCATTCTTTGTGCAGCAGGGAAAATAATCCAAAAAAAAAGTGATCATTAGTCTTAAAAAGTGAACTAGCAGGATTTTTTAAGATGCCTGAAGAATCATGATAATTTATACCCCCTGAAATTACAAACAACAGAATTATCATAAGGCTGCCTAATCAAAAGAGAAGTCTGGATAAATATGCTAACTACACAGTTGAACACTATATCATGCAGCATGGCTGAACTTTGTGGAACGATGTAACTGCAAAGCCTGTGAGCAGTCGTTCTTCAAATAAACACACGTATGTGTGCACACACTCCTAACAAATATGCATACACCCTTTCCAGGTGTATTTCTGTTTCTGTTCTGAGGAAAAATCGGGGCCCTCTCTGCACCGTCTGTTCATACTCACAGGGCACATGCACTACGCAGGCCTGGATCACTTGAAGTTTGCTGGCAGGGGAATCTCTCCATTATGGGGGAAGCAGCCTGTACTTCTGCTGACTTGTTAAATTTTCAGAAGAGCTGCCCCACTTAGGCCAGAGCACATTAAGCGATAAATTCATAGCTCTGCATTGTAATTTGATGGCAAGGTTTTTAATATATTCGTCTTTCCCACCAGTCTTCTGCTAGTATCTTTATCAAAAGCCAGACTGCAGCAGAAAATATTTAAAGGGACACTCAAGTGCTTACACTTCCTGAATACATCAGCATATGGATGAAAGCAACTGAAACATATAGCTACAGTTGCAGATCCTCCTTAATCACACAAAACTCCTGCAACGGGTGCAGTTCTCCCCACAAGGCAAAGTGGGATGACAGATGGAACACAGGGGCTGCTGTACAAAATGGATAAATTCACTGTAGAAATCTAATTGCCTTTGCCTCCAGATGCCCGTCACACCTTCCTCTCTGGTCTATCATAACTGCCTTATGGGTCGCTGACACCAGCAAGGTGTGGGGATAGGACATACTGGGGCCATGAAGAAGGACACCCTGTATGAAAGGAACCAGGAACCTGGATGGAAAACAGTGGAAAATTTCAGAGGGAGAAAAACAGAGCAAGAATACACACTGTGAGGAGACAGTGTCGAGGTCAGAGCTGGATGGACTTAGCTCCCAGCACAGACATGAGAGTAAGATAACACCAGGCATGCTGTGCACCATGGGCCAAGCCACAGTCAACAAAGCCCAGAGACCCTCTAAAGACACAAATTTGGCACACTTGGCAGCCTTCAGTCCTGAAAGACTGTTTTGGTGACTGGGAACACTCTCTGGAGGGGTGAAGGATGACTGAGCACAGGTTTGTCCGCCAAGTCTATGTGTGCATGTTTGTGTTCATACTCCATAACTTGGGGAAGTGCCCTGGGGGTTGCTTTCCCTGAGCTGGCTGTAATAAGGAGGTCTTGAGAAGTAGAGATCCTAACTTAGCATCCAGCAACTGATAAAAGTCATAAAGCAAGACAGAACTTATAAGCAACATAGGTGAGCATGACAAAACGTATTTGAATAACCAGATAGCAGTAAATAGGAAAGATAAGGAATAATGAATCAGAGAAGACTCTGTCCATCATGTAATAAAAAAAATTGTGAGGAAGTTCAGAAGCAACACACTCTGAAATTGTTAATAGACTTTTTTCTTTTGGTAAGAATAAATAAACATTAAACAACAAAGCTCACTCACACCAGATAGTGCCTGAGGCTAAGGCTGTAGCAGGACATTTAAAAAGAGGAATCCATGATATAATGCAAATATCCATCATTAAAACACAGAGTGTTTTGACCTTGGCTTATGTGTTCATGCCACTTGCCTGCACATATCAACACATACTTACACACACTCTTCTCACCAGTAACTTGTAAATCTTGCTGTCCAACTTTGGCTATAATTAACAGATAGAGGGATATTCAAGAGTCTGAGAAGTTTTGTGAAAGTTTATGGCCACAGAGTAGAGTTCCCACCAACCCAAAAACTGGAGCCAGAACAGCTTCGAGTCATAAATCCATGTAGATTGAAGCTTACATTGGTTAGGAAGTAAGTCTTTTAACAAAACTAGTGATGTGAATTTTTTTCCTTCAGTGCCCAGACTAACTACTGACTGATGGATGTATCTCTTAAAAGTATGTACATCCACTACTGATGTTATGGCACTGGTCAGAGTCAGGGCAGAGATGGGATCCCACTCTAGATGGACTGGTGCTCTGATTCTTTATAGTACTGCCTCTGTAAATTTCTTCCAAGGATCTCTGGTTTAATAGGATTAGCTTTTTTAACTTTCTTCCATTTTCACCTTTCCATCGGAGTAATTTCAGTACAACTTGGAAACTGCTCCCTTTTGCTGACCTGACCTTTAAGATGTTCACATGAACAGCTTCTAAACCAGGTTGCACGCAAGGCTTGCTGGAAGCTTAGCAGCCCCAGGCACTTGCCTTGTCTGGAGAAATGTTCCTGAAAGTATTTTATCTCTGATTTTATATCATTCAGGAAGCTCTGATTTTGCCTTTGCCACAAGTAAAGATAGAAATTGTCAAACGAGGATGTCTAAAGTTGCATGGCAAGCTCTCTCTTTGTTCTGCTAAATAAAAGTAACATATTTTCAGATATGGCCAGCATAAACAACTAGTGCTGAAATCAGTAAGAATTGTATATCCTCAGCAGTTCTCAAAAACAGGCTTTGGGGGGAGGATCTAAACAGGATTTAGGGAAATCAACTCTGGAAACCAAGTTTGTTCATTTCGACAAAGCTTTTCAGGTGTCATTGTTCACTTGCTTTGTTTTCTAAAAGCATGTTTTTGCTTCTGTGTTTGGCAAGGTAAGATTAAAAATTAAAGCCCCTGAAACAGAATGAACAACAGCTTAAATGAGGGGGATTCACCCTTCAGGCAATGCCTGGCCAGGCCTGGCTCTGCCATGCTGCTGCCTCTCAGATCAGCACAGCACAGCACTCACCCTCTGCACCCCTCTCCCCTTCCCCAGGGGCAGTGCTGGCACCGTTCAGTCAGCTTCTGTGTCATCCTGGCCCTGGTCTTAATGGTCACACAAAGTACCACAGAGAAAGGCCATCACCTCCAAGTCCTAGAAACCTCAAGGGTGAGGCAAACACAGGGGCCTCTCCAGGAGAATCTCTGTGGGAAACAATGGATGTACTTAGGGAGAGCAAAAAGGGAAGGAGAAAATAATATGAAAAACATACTGTCTGTAATCTGGCTATTCTTCTGTGAAGGAGGAGCATCCCAGGATTTTACAGACCACAATCACAACTTAACTAATAGGGACACAGGAAAAAAATTAAAAAATGACTTAATGATTTATTAGTTTCTTTTAAGTGTTTCCATATCTGCCACAATCACACGAAAAGAGTGACTTAAGTTAAAATATTAAATAAAGCAAGGCAATGTAAGCAAATAAAGTGAAGCAATGAATGAGAAGGAAATTATTTGGATCCCTATGAAATGTTACTTTTCCTGTAGTGATTCTGGCAACATTTAGGGATGGCTCAGATGATTATGACTTGGCCTGCTTTCAGAAAGTATCCTGTCCCCACAACACTGAAGCAAACAGCTCACTGTCCAGTTAGGACTTTTTAAATTATGAGCATTTTAGCAGTGTAAAACTCACCTAATACACAAACAAACCTATAAATCATTTCCTTCCTGAGAAACTGCTTGGAACATTACTGCTGAAGAATCTTCCCTAAAAGGCTTTGAAACAATCCGAAGCATGCAAAATAATAATGTAGAGCACATCAAAACTGAAGTGGTTTAGACTGAAATAAAACAAAAGACCATTTCATTTGCAATCTCTTTCTAATGTTCTCCCTTGTCCTGTTCTGTTGTCTCTGTAAAACAACAACAAAAAATCAACATATATATCCTTATGATCATCATGAAAGGCCTTCCAATGAGTTTATGGAATTGATTACAAAGAAATGATGTATTTGGTACTTGGCTTGTCTAAATAATGTATAGTTCTTTTTTCCCAAAATATTTGCAAAGATTTTATTTTTTTCTAATAATGCTTGCAGGAAGTACAGACCATGTGTTCTTAGAAAACTGACATACTTGTGTTTGTCAAGATCATCAGTACCAGAAATGAGCAACATTTTCACAGGAGATATATCCTACACTGAAAATCATGCATTTAAACATGTGTGGTGTGCATCAAAAATACATTCTCCCAGAAAGGTATTTCACTGCTAAATGGTCACCGAGCATGTAAAGGCAGCTGTTTCAAGCAATCCTTCCCATACAGTCAATAATATACTTAGATTACAGAAAACTGAAACAAAATATATGACAGATAGCTTGGGACTTCTCACATACTATTTATAATTATTCTCTACAGCAACCGAACTCATCATTCTTATGTAAAAATAAGGATATCTTTAAAATGTTCACTTACTCTGCTAAAGCTGTTGTGCTGAGGGAATTATCCTGAATGCTGAAACAGAAACAAGAAAACATCAGATAAGTCAGCAAGGCAGGCAGGCTCCCTGTATCCTTCTCAGTTGTAGGAACACATGCACAAACATGGCATTGCAAGGCAAGTCTCTGTGTGTTAGCTCTACATGCACGACTGTACCTTCGGCTGCTCTGCACATGCTCATAATCAAGGAACCATAGGGATCAGTCCTACAACACTCACAAAGCCCATCCAGCAGCGCTTTGAATTAATACAGGGATGCAGGTAGTCTGTGAGGCTCAGAAAGGGATCACGATATTTTATAACTGTAACAGTGCTGCTAATAAAGGCTTAGGTTTGCAAACGAGTATTTGGCATTCGGTCCTTTAAACGCTTGCGCTATGTTATTGGCTCATCAAACACACTTGTTTATGTTACTTAAATAGGATTGCTCAGCTAAAATCTCTGGAGGTTTTTTTCTTCTTGTTCAGTGGTCTCTTACACACTCAGCTCATGGCCAAACCCCAGGGGAAGCTATGAAAAAATAATCTGGCAGAAAGGACAGTTCAAGTAGCAAAAGGTTATTAAGCTACCAGCAAGCAATAGATGAGACCATTCCTATGAAAGGAATAGGCTGGCATGATCCTGCAACAAAATGTTTCAGACCTGATGTAATCAGTACGGGTCAACGCAGGATACTGTAAACTGCTGGTTTTGAGGCAGCAGTAGAATTGCCCCTCGAAAACACTTCTCAAAATCCAGTAAACACACTGTTGGGTCATCCTGAAATCTTATAGTAGCAGAAAAAAAAAGAAAAAAAACCCCACACACAAAAAAATCACCACACAAAAAAACCACAAACAAACAAAAACCAAAACAAACGAAACTCAAAACCAAAACCAGCTCACTCACTTCTGCATACCTGAGCTGAGATTTTTTTTTTAGGGGGAGGGGAGGGTAGGGGAAGAGAAGGCAATGCAAACAACAGCGTCTTATGATGACTCCTGTCTGTGACAATGGCACCTCGTGGATGACAGCATCAAGGGGAGCAGGGATACAGAGAGGTGCAGCATCCTCCTCCCCGCAGCAGCTTGAGCCGCTGCGTGGTGTTGACACGCATTTCCCAGGCAGCAGCAGCAGCAGCCAGAAGCCACAGCCGTGACTATTTCCCTTCTCTCACCAACAGCACTAACGATGCGTCTTATCTTCACTTCTTCCCAGCCCTCCTACCTGATGCACACAGTTTTGCTCTTTTCTTTCCCATACTTGTATACGCTTGGTTAGACCAGAGCTTAGAGAGAGACTGGATGTTTATCCTCACTCCCCTACACAAACCCACAAAAGAAGGGGAGCGAACAGAGAATGCTCTTGTAAACGTAACTTCTCCATTTCCATGTGCAAAAGTTAAGGTCAAGTTCTCTGCTAATTCCTGCCCTGTGCAAACATATTGCAGGGCTTTGTTGCTATTACTAGAAACAGAATATGATTGAAGATCAGTTTGTGAAACAGAGATGCTTTGGACTGAGACCAAATTTAAAATGTCATCGCTTTTCCACTGTTTGTCTGAACTCTAGTGCTATACGGCTGTTGCTAAATCTCTTTTAGGCAAGCACTCTACATTTATTTCAGGTCACTCACAAAGTTCTATTTGTTTCGAAGATGGTGCCTGACCAGTGGTATTGGATAGTCTCTTCCTGCAAGGCTGTGAAACCATTGAACAAAAACCAGATTTCATATAAAATAGAACAGTACTAATAAATATAAAAAGTAAAGGCCAACTAAACCCAGGATCCTGCTTCAGAGCTTATCTCTCTATCACACAGACAAAGCCATCCTGCTCCTGGGGGAACTCAAGAGAGGAACTACAGTAGGCTGACAATAACTTCTTTTCTTTTCCTTCCAGAAGAAAATAATTTCTCTTTAGGGACAAACGCTTATTTCACCTACGATGTTGTCCTGGGCCTATTGGCTGACCTCACTTCCTTTCGCCTACCCAGGTGCTCTGGGTGCGACTAGAGCAGGCACAGAGCCCCTGGCCTTACCTCGCCTTACAAGGGCGGACCAAAGACACTTGAACCTGCATCTCTGTTTCCCATTAAGTCCCAGGCACAGGGAAACATCTTACTGCTGTTACCACCTCCTTTTCAGTAATGACATTAAAGTCCATTAGGCCTGTAATGCTATAAAACATCACTCTTCAACATACAGAAATTCTCAGTGCCAGATATATTTCACCACCACATTCAGACAACATGTCAGGACATCTCTCATCGCCACGAAGTCCTGATGAAAATAAAGCTATGCCTGCATGTGAAGTAAGCTGTGGACTTCACCACCGAGTAGCAGATGTACTTTTAAAGACTTTATTTTTTGAAGTCATTAAAATACATCTTTCTGAAATTCTGAAAAATAGGGGCTTTTAAATCAGTTTTTCTTTATTTATGCTAAACAGTTTAAGTGATTCACATTTTGAAGTATCATATCTATGGAAAGACACTTTCTCTGTTAAAAAGCTTCCCATTTTATACTCAGTTTTGTTCTTACTCTCTTTTGCCAAATGTTGATCAAGCCAACATAAATATCACACACCAGCTCTCAGCTAACAACAAAAATGTTGCAGAACTCCAAAGGAAACATCTACGTATATTCTGGAGATACCAGGGTTCAGAAATGTGTTGCTGCTCACTTCTGAAAATCTGACTAATATATTGCCTATTTATGACTGACAAATAGATTGGCATAGAAATTCCATTCTTTGTTTGGTTTGGATCATCAAGAGAATTACTGCTAGGTCAGGAGGAAGATTGAAACGGGAATCACTTAGCCTCCATCTCAGTTTTGCACGTAGCAGAGACACATGCTCAATATAAATGATGTGTTCAGAAGCTCAGAACAGCAGCAGTCAGCACTATAAGCATGCGTCAGGCAGTGAATGCTTTACAAAACCAGTATGGTCTAGTTGCAGAAGACTGCAAAAGACAGAGGTAGTGAGACAAAAGTAGTTCTGGCTTCAGGAGAACAGAAGAGTGTGCAACAATCAAGATTAAAAGTCCAGGAAAAAAAAAAAAAGAGAGAAATAGTGAAGCTTGCCAAGCTACAGTTGTCTAAATGGCCACAAAAAGACACATACACACAATCCTCTGCAGGTGTTGTGGCAGCTTGCTTTCACCTGCAGAACAGAACCTTTGCCTCAGTTTCCAGAATTTGCTCATCACAGTAAATGTGACTGTGTTCTCTTACGGACATTTCTGACTCAGGCAAATAATGAGGCCATTCAGCCTTAACTACAGAATAATGAAGAAATTGTACTGGGAAATAAACTGTATGTTTACAGGGAGAATCACATATTTGCAAAGAACTCTAAACTCTCCAAGGTTCTGGGAAAGTTGGTATTTCCACATTTAATATCTACTATCTAATGACAAATCCAGTGCAATCCTATGAGGTGTGATTAGCATTTATTGCAAGACTATTTTCTTTATTATTATTTGTGATCCCACAGAGTCCAAAGTGCTTGTGCTAAAACTGCTGCATCAGAGGCAATTACATTTTGCACTATGGTTAGGCCGTACAAGGGAGCTGCACTAGATGCTGCAGAGGGATGCAAGAGACACCATATGACACGCTGTGCATGACGAGCAGACCAAGGCGACTCCCTCCAGCTCCGGGAAAAAGTTACTCACGTTCCACTACCCAAATAAAGGGAAAGTTGGAATGATCTCCCCCCTAGTGCCTCTCTGGATGGAGTCAAGACATCTCTGCCAGAACCAGCAGAGCTCAGAGACTCATAAAAATATTGAGCAAATTTGTTTGCCTTGGAGTACGCGTGTTCCTGCCAAGTAGCAATACCCTGAAGCGCTCCAACAGTCCTTCATCTCCCTCTCAAATTATACCAACAAGGGGACGCACTCCCTCCTACCTGTATGCATGCACAGAGTATGCTCTCATGGACAAAACACATCCACCTCTGCCAAGGAACAGGTTAAATACATCAGTTTGTCAGGTCACACTGCTACTTCTGAGGTCACGCTTATGGCAGAACACTTTTATTTAAGCAGAAAACAATCTGAGGGACTCTGCAGCAACTCATCTCTGCCTTCAGTAAGTCTGTTCTCTTCCAACACACAGGGCTTTCTTATGGGATAAGAGCAGGGATCATTCTGCAGCAAAACATTAGCACTGTGATCGCTCCAGTGCCTTGCCCTTTCTTCAAAAGTGATCCTGCAGGATACTTTTGCTATTTTCCAATCAGTAAGGCATAAACGAAGGAGCTGCCATGTGAGAGAGAAGTCACATGCCTCTCTCCTGTAGTGATAAATACTGAATGCTACACTCTGTGGCACAAAATATTCATGTGTTCACTGGCTTGCTTTCTTGACGTACAGTCTGTATTTTTACGGGTAATGCTCTCAGACACATCAGAAAACACCTTAAGGCAAATTAAAGCAAAATACAGCAATTACATGTAGGAGTCGGTTGGTGAGCACTCAGTCCAGTTGCCATATCTTTGATTTTCTCAGTGACCTAATTAGCACATCATCTGAGTGAAGGGACCTGAGGGTAGAAAAGCATTCAGCTGATCTTGCTGTATGTCTTAAAAATGCACAGACAAGCTCATGCAGGAAGAAACTCGAGCTGAGCATAGGTGCAGTCACAGTTGTCATAATCCAATCCAGGGCAATTCCATAAGGCATATATATGTTGAGTTGGATAAAGCTTTGTGCAAGTGCACAGACCTTCAGGGTTATGTTTTCTGAAGATATTTCAGTGAACAGTCAAACCACATACACTTCCTTACTCAAGTCTTCGGAGGAGCGGGCCCATGAATCTCATACATGTTCCCATGGCACACCTCAGTTTGCACTGGGGCAGGCACGTCTACTCTGTAGCTGAAAAGGCACAGTCATACATCACTCAGATCCCTGCTCTTTTAAAGGGAAAAATACCATGGAAATGCACAATTTTGCGCAGACTGGAAATTCTGATTTGTGAATCACTTCAGTCCCATCACTTGGGTTATGTTTCTGCAGCTCAAGTGCACACACCTGAGCAAGCACCAAAC